CGACGTTGAACAGGCGTTTGATCGAGTCTGGCATCCGGGATTGCTTTACAAACTCCGTAAATTCCTTCACCTTACATATTTTCTTATCATCAGTTCCTATCTTACTGATAGACACTTCAAAGTAAGTCACAATAATACCTATTCATCTCTCTTTTCTCAATCTGCCGGAGTTCCTCAAGGTAGTATCCTTGGTCCTATCCTTTACACAGTTTATGCAGCTGATATCCCAACCCATCCTAACACTGTCATCACTACGTATGCTGATGACACATGTATCCTGTCAGTTAATAATGATCCAACAATTGCATCCCAAACTCTTCAAACACATCACAAACCTTGAAGAATGGTGTCAAAACTGGAGGATTAAAATAAATTCCAATAAATCTCATCAAATCACCTTTACCCTTCGTCGTAAACCAATGACTTGCTGTCCTGTAGTATCCTTTAATAACACCCCACTTATCCCTGTAGAACAAATCCGATACCTAGGACTCCAGCTGGACAAACGTCTCACTTGGAATCCTCATACCTAGACTGAAACGACAAGAAACTGCTCGACGTTTCCGCTTACTCCAACACTTACTGGACAAACGCTCTAAACTTTCAATGAATTACAAACGACTCATATACATGATTATAATAAGACCTATTTGGACTTATGGAGTTGAGCTGTGGGGCTCCACTAAACCATCAAATTCCTATCGTATCCAATCCTTACAATCCAAAACCCTCCGTAAAATCCTTAATGCTCCATACTTTGTCACAAATAAAACCATTCATAAAGACCTCAATGTTCCATATGTTTCCGATTTGGCCAAATCCAGATACCTATCCTTCCATAATAAACTTCATAACCATCCGAATCCTCTTGTTTCTAACCTTGCTTCCTATTCGATTCCTGATAACCCTCCGAGGCATCTGAGAAGGAGATGGCCTCGTGATCTCCTCATGTAGACAAATTATTAGAGTGGTACCAATGGGTGGTTTCTCAACAAGCGTGTTTCATGTGATTATATTCCTATGTACACATTTACTTGATGTATTCATACTAATACATTTGTAAATATCATAATAAAAGTTGAAAAAAAAAACTTATTATTGTTAGTTTTGTTATCATTACATTTGTTTTCGTCTATTTAATATATATGTTGTAAAATAAAAGTATTTAATCAAACTGTTTTGTTATTATTACATTTGTTTTCATCTATTTAATATATAAATTGAAAAAAAAAAAGTGTTTTTTTTTGCAATTTCAATAATATGAATATATACACGGTGGGCCAGACCCTCTACCGTGCACCCCTCCCCCTCACCACATCCCTATAAATTGCATATCGTTGTGTTCCTTGTAACTATTTATTAAAAAAAATCCAATGTTCACACAAAAGAAAGAACGAATTTCCCCAAAATGGAGTCTTGGACTGACAACTTTGACTTTAGTCAGTTTTTTGGTCACTGAAAGCATCTGGCTTAATTTAGTCATAGTTGGTCTTTTATTAAAACTAGATAGCCAAACAATAAGAAAACAAGAAAAAATATTTGAAAATAATTGGCTTAGGTAATAAAAAACACCAGTAAAGTCAATTGTTTCAACAAAAAAATTTCAAGTTGAAAATCAAGCGTCGTTTGTAATTCAACTGCCAAGAATAACGTGAAACGTGCTGAAATAACATATCTGGGGAAAATATTTTTCTTTTTAAAACACTGATTACTTTTTAAATATTTGAAGCAGTTCCGTAGAAAATGCACTTAAGTTGTACTGGCGAACAGGCCTCTACCACACTATTCAGTGCTAATAATTGGCTTAGTTATAGTGATATAATGTTTTTGGTACATTATATTGGTTTCATTAATGGACAAATATTAATACAATCATTTCATTGTCCAAAAAATTGTTTAATATTTTTTTTTAAATTTATTATATATTTTTTTTTAATTTTAACTTCCTTTATTGTATATGGAGGTTGTTTAAGAAGACCTCAAATGTAAAAAACGATATAATTAAAATAATAAAACTTAATTCAAAAATACTTTGCTAAATATCTTAAATTTTGTATTTAATGTTTGCAATTTAATACTTTGTTTTGTATATTTACTGATTCCTAGAGGTAATTTAAATTGTATATACTTATCAGAAAATGAGTCATATTAATACCTGTTTTATAAACTAAAATAACATATACCTAATCTGAACTACATATAATGGATAGTTGCTGGGTTGTTTAGTAAAACTCATATATCACAAATAAAAAAATGAGTTTTTATTTCCTTTATTTTGTTCTGAAGTTGGACCATATCATAAAAAAATAGAAAATTTTAATATTGAATGTATTATTCCCTCTTCATCAAAGAAAGATGTAAATTAATAATATTAAGGGGATGATGCAGGTTTGTTATGGTGAAGATCATTTTATCAGCAAGAAAGATTTGTTTGAAGCAAGTGGCAAGTCAGCTGTAGTCTGGACGAAGTAAACCGAACTGTTTTGCACGTACATAGGCAATAAAGGTATTTGAAAATGAAATGAAAGTACTGTAGTTTTGTCCCTTTATAAGAAAGAAGATATTAGAAAATGTAATATCCATCGAGATTCATTCCTGTTTAGTTTACCAAAGAAACTCTACTCAAGAAACGTAGAAGCTAGAATAAGAAATATTGTCGATTGCCAGAGCGATATGGATTGGGAAACTCAAGTTGCACATTGGAAAAGAAATTGCAAATTGGGTCTTCACTTTAAGGTAGGTTATAGTGCAGTCCATCAAGAAACAAAAATAGCTCTCCATCTGTTTAGTGCCTCACACTTTGGATTGTGATAATATCTACTAGTCTTTCAGGAAAGCTCATTTTCCTTTCAGATGCCTTAAAAAATCTAACCACGTTGCTTTCCTTATAGAAACGGTTTTGTTACAACTACGAAAGCATCTCCATTTAATCTTCCCGTCGAACTTCATTTTATGACCTTCATCACAATATTTGACCTTTGCAAATATCCCGGCATCTTGAAAATATTTTATAGCCTCTTCTTCTGAAGACGGCAATTCCCACAATGTGACAACATCCATAATTAAATAAACTCACAGCTAACACAAGAAACAAAAAATAAACAAGGGAATAACTTAGGTTAGATGAGATAAGGGAGTTTATGTGAAATGAGATTAGATAAGAAGGGAGGTTTTGATGCTACCGGCTACTAAATAAGTACCCCTGCTTCAAGGTGAAGTTAGTCCCCAATATGCAACTTCAGTAGCAATTAAAAAAATAAAGTAGTTTTCATCATAATAAATCTCGTTTACTTTGTCCAGAACACAGCTGACTTGCCAATTGCTTCGAACAAATCTTTCTTGCAGATGAAATAGTCTTCACCATAATAAACCTACATCGTCCCCTTAATATCATCCAAGCTGCTCCAGCATTTGACCTCCTTTTTTTAGCAGCATCTTGAAATATTCTGTTCATCTGTATACTATAAATTTGTTTAGCCATATAATGGATTACTGATCCATATTTTCTTTCCCGAGATTTTAACACTTCCTTTCTCGTTCGATTAATGTATTTTACCAATTTTTGGGTTCAATTTCGCATTTTCCCTCATTTTGATACCAAATACTAACAATCAGTTCCGGTTACCTAGAAGAACTAATAGCTTTGCTCTTTCCATCTTTGTGCAGAGAAAATAACACATTAAATATTAAAATTTCCTATTTTTTTATGACATGGTCCAACTTCCGAACAAAATAAAGAAAATAAAAATTAATATTTTTATTTGTGTTGTATGAGTTTTACTAAACAAGCAATCAACTATTCATTATATGTAGTTCGGATTAGGTATATATTATTTTAGTTTATAAAACAGGTATTAATATGATTCATTTCAGGGGAAGTATATACAATTTAAATTACCTCTAAGAATTAGTCAATATACAAAACAAAGTGTTAAATTGCAAACGTTAAATGAAAAATTCAAGATATTTAGCAAAGTATTTTTGAATTATAATTATATCATTTTTACAATATAGGCCTTCTTAAACCACATTCGTACAGAATAAAAGAAATTAAATTTAAAAAAAAAGTTAAATTTTTTTGGATAATTAAATGATTGCATTAATATTTCTTTGTTAATACAATCAATAGAATGTACTAAAAACGTTATAGCACTATAACTAAGCCATTTATGTGTACTGAATGGTGTGGTAGAAGCCTTTAGGCACCTACGCCAGTACCGCTTTTCTGCCGCTTGAGTGCATTTTATACGGATCTGCATCACGTATTTTAAAATGTAATCAGTGTTTTAGAAAGAGAAATATATTCCTGAGATGTGTTATTTCAAAACATTTTGCTTTATTGTTGGCCGTTTAATTACAAATGAATCTTGATTTTCAACTTGAAAATTATTTTGTTAAAAGAATTGACTTTAGTGGTGTTTTTTATTTCCTAAACCAATTATATTTCAATATTTGTTCATGTTTTATTATTCTCTGACTATCTAGCTTTAATAAAAGACCAACTACGACGAAATTAAGCCATATGCTGGTTCTCAGTGACCAAAACACTAACTAAAGTCAAAGTATTCAGTCTGCCATGTTTAGATGGCATTTTGGGGCAGTGCGTTCACTTTTTTGTTGTGGGAACATTGGCTTTTTTAAAATAAATAGTTACAACGAACACAACGATATGCAATTTATAGGGATGTGGGGTGCACGGTAGGCGAGTCTGGCCGTCACACTAATAATAAAATAAATATGAATCCAAAGATAGGAATTATCAGTGTTAATGTTATAAACATTGGCAGATAGTAGTCGGTCCCGACTGGCTATCTAAGGAGTACCGTGCATTTTTGTTGTTCTTAGGGTAAAGGTAAATTTTAAAATAATTTATTCTAAAAATCTAAAATCGTTTATGCAAATAAGAAATTGAAACATTAATATTTTTATGAAGTAATTGTAAAGTATTCCTTCTAAGCTTTTTAAAAATTATTTTAATTATTTGATTTATTATTTTTCAGGCCATGGATGATGTTAAACTTAGCGTGATTTCATCAGTTCTCAATTTCTTGAGAGGAGAATTCCATGCAGGTTATCTTGATTCTGAAAATGCTGAAGGCCTTGAAGTTGCTATTCACTGTTTGGAAAACATATACAATGTCAGCAGTGTTAGGCGTTCAAATGAACCTTCCTTATTGGAGATATACAAGTTTTACTATGAGAATTCGGTAAGTTTTCATTTGTTTAAAGTGTTGTAATGATCTAGGTGGTATTTTACAATATAACTTGGTCAGTGTATTGAGGAATTAAGCTTCAACTTTGATTTCTTGATATCCTAATTTTTTTTTTATAATATCGACTGTAAATTTTTAATAATTTGATTTTTCTTTTTTTTTTTTTTGTTGAGTGTAACTATTTTTTACTGTATTACTTGTTTAACCTGAAGAATTCCCCGTTCAATAAGAAAAGCAAAAAAAACTCTACAAACATAAATTGTTTTATTTTTTTTTATTCCATTCAGTCATCAACCATTGATCAGTCATGAACCATTCATGAATAAGGCAAAAATAGTTGAGTGAAAAAGGCAATCTGATTCTTTATAGGCAATATAATTTACACCATTTATAAAAAAAATAAATGAACCATGAATCCATAAACAATCTTCGATTCAGTAATATGTAAGGATATACTGTATATAATATTTATAAATGTAATATTTGTGAACCAAGTGGTTTGTGAGAATGCCTGTCCATATTAGGCAAATTCTTCATGAACGTGCGACTAATTTTATTAATTTTAATCTAGATTAGTATTTACCAATGCCTTTGTTGAGGTTCGCCCTTCTGGCGTTAAACATCAAAGGGTTCGTATTGATTCCTTGATTTTATTAAGTTGATAAAAATAAAATAAATATTTTGCTTATGTCCAAGCTTAATTATAGATTTTTCTCATTCAGTGTAACTTTTATTCTTCTTCTTAATCAATTCCTCTTCTACTGCTAGATCAGTGTAGAGGATCCTGTTTATAGATACTGATCCATTTATCTCGTTCTTGCACCAGCTGATTGCGTCTATTCCAATTCATTCCTCTCCTATCGAAATCCTCCCTGACTGAACCTTCCCAAGTCTTTCTGGGCCTTCCTCTCGACAATCTTCCTTCCACTTTTACTTCATATATAGTTTTGACCATTCTTCCCTCCTGCATTCTTTTGACATGGCCAAACCAGCGTAGCCTGTTTTTCTCAATTGTGTTTTCTTCTGGATTTATTTCCAAATTGCTTCTTATCATTGTATTTATAATTTTGTCCCTCCTAGTTTTCCCCTCTATTCTCCTCAGAAATCGCATTTCCAATGCTTGGATATTGCTTTTATGTTTTGAGGTTATAGTCCAGGATTCACTGCCGTAAATCAGTATGGGGACAAATGTATTTCTATACACCGTCTTCTTGACATTTTTTGATACTTCTCTCATTCCTAAGAAGCCTGTTTTTAGTGAATGGAAGCATTTGCTGGCCAGTTTTATTCTTTCTCTGATTTCACCATCTATCCATCCGTTCGCATTTAGATGAGCTCCCAGATACTTAAAATCTTTGACGTGCTCCAGTCCCTTCAATCGAAGTACTCGATCTCCCCTCTCTTCTCCTCTTCCTATCCTCATAATTTTTGTCTTGTGGCTGTTTATTTCCAGGTTGAACAGTTCTAATTCTTCCTGCAGGATTCGGAGGTTGTATTGGAGGTTTCTTCCGTTGTTCCCGAATACCACAATATCGTCGGCATATGCCAGAAGGGTGAGATGAACTGGTCGTAGCTCTCTGTGGCCCAACCTAAAAGGTCTCATTCTTTCCTTAGCTCTCTTCAGTGCCATGTTGAGCACTATTATAAACAATAAAGAGCTTAGACTGCAGCCCTGCCTTATTTCTTGGGTGCTCTGAAACTCTCTAGAGGTGTGGTTGTTGGTTCTGACCACGTTTATTTTCTCTTTATATAGGCTAAGAATGGCCCTCGCTAGGCCTGGATTGACTTCATGCTCATTCAGTGCTCTGTCTATGTCCGTTTTTCTGACCTTATTGAATGCTTGGGTTAGGTCCACGAAGCAGGTATATACCTCTTTATTCTTTTCCACAAGCTTTTCCGAGAGCTGCCTCATTACGAATATTAAGTCTTGGGTACTTCTTTGTGGTCTTAAGCCGTATTGTTCTTCTTCTAGGTCTGTCTCAATGAATCCTCTTAGTCTCTTCTCCTGAATCTTAGAGTATATCTTGCATGGTACACTAAGTAGTGAAATGCCTCTGTGGTTTCGCCATTCCCGGTAGTCTCCTTTTTTATGAATTGGTACTATGACTGAAATTTCCCAGTCCTTGGATACTTTTTTCCTTTTCCATACCAAATTCAGTAGATACTGAAACATTTCCTGCCCTTTTGCTCCCATATACTTCAGCATTTCGGGGTTTATACCGTCTATTCCTGGTGATTTGCCCATTTTCAGGCTGTCAATTGTATCTGCTATTTTCTCTTCTATGAAATCTTCCTCGTCCTCGTACTCAGTGACATCTTCATTGATATTTTATTCCGGCATTGACAAACTACCTATATCGTCATTCAGCACCCTCTCAAAGTATTCCGCCCATCTATTCATTATTTTATTGGTATTTATTAAAATAATACCTTCCTCATCTTTTATGTGTTTTATAATGGGCTCCTTTTCCTTCCTCATATTTCTTAGGCATCTGTAGAAGAGCTTCTGATTTCCTTTTGCATCTTCCTCTAACTTATTTCCGAAATCTTCCCAAGCTTTTCTCTTCGACTGCAGGACTTTTTCCTTTGCTCTTTTTCGCTGTTCCTTGTATCTTTCATAGTCATCCATGTTTTTTGTCTAAAGATACCGCTTCCATAGTTAGGGAAAATTCTTCATGAACGTGAGACTAATTTTGTTAATTTTAATCTATATTAGTATTTACCAATGCCTTTGTTGAGGTTCGCCCTTCTGGCGTTAAACATCAAAGGGTTCGTATTGATTCCTTGATTTTATTAAGTTGATAAAAATAAAATAAATATTTTGCTTATGTCCAAGCCTAATTATAGATTTTTTTCATTCAGTGTAACTTTTATGAAGAACATAATAAATAAAAGTTGAACTTTTACCATAAACTTAAAACTTTTATTTAAAAAACTTTTTTTATAAAAATTTTAATAACAAGAACTTATATATAGACCATTTTTTAAAAAGTTCCATGAAAATTTCAACTCCTGATTTTTAGGTTGTTATAGACAAATAAATTTCTTTTGTTGTACAGATTAAGAAAAAAATATTAGCCTTGGTATCAAATAAGTTTATTGTGTATCGTAAATTACAAAAACCAAAAAGTTCTTCGAGTAAAGAAGGCCGATTAAATTTTTATTATGATAAAGAAAGTTAGTTTCGTTTTTAATCTCCTTTGAAACCTTAAAAACAAGTTTTTATAGAAATCAAAAATTGAAAATTTTAGTACTTGACTTTATCAAGTATTTTTTTGGGGGTTTTAGCTATAAAGCCTTCCTAACTTATCATTAAACGTTGCCAAACTTAATAAATTCCATTAATGACTGCATTTTCTGTCTATTTTTCATCCTTCTAATTTTAAAATTCTCCAGCTAAAGGAGTCTGGAATTTGAAGGGAGGGGTTAAATGGGTAGGGCATGGGAGTAGTTAATTGCCTGGAGGAGTGATCCCCTTCATAAAATCGTCTTTCTGCTCCCTTAAGTGTGGCTATGCCTGAAGTAGATACTGGAGGAATGCTGATTGCTTTTATTAGCGAAAAAATTATTTATTATAAAGTGTGTTATTTTATAGTTCTTACCTGCAGTTTATCTTGTGAAAAATAAAATAATCTCCCTTAATATTAATTATAAGATTTGTCCTTAACCTATCTAACCCATTATTGAATTAAGACTACAAGATAATTTTGTTTCTTAGATTCATCATAGAAATGATGCTACCGAAGAAGAAAAATTGGAAGGTGAACGATTTAAAGTTGAAGGAAATGCTGCAATGAGTGGTGGGCAGTATTTAGAAGCTCTTCAACTATATTCTAGGTAAGTGTATATCTATCTGTACCAGTGAGTTTTTGGACACATTATGTATGTCACATTTTTCCAACTTTACAGGAGAGCAGTTTGAACGGATGTTTCCCTTTAAATAAATTCGGTCTTTGAACGGATGTTTCCCTTTAAATAAATTCGGTCTTGTAATGTTTTAAAAACTTGTAACTCGACTGGTCTGAGAAATTGTCTATTTCTATATATCAAGCCTCTTTAACTGATCACTTGTTAATTGTAAAAAAAAAAAAAAAAAAAAAAAAAAAGATGACTCACATTTTGAACAATATTTTGAAGGTCATAAAGGACTCATTTTTGGGAAGATTGTTTTTCTTTTTTTGCTTAAAATAAAACACTTTTATCTTGCCTAAAATCGGAACTAGCAAACTGATTAAAGTGTTTTGATTTTATTCAGTGCGAAATAATCTATTTAAAAGTTTGTTATTGTGATCATTTTTGGATTAGTTTCCCTAATGATTTATGCTTTGTTATTGAACAACATATGTGTATTGAATTCATTTCAAAACTTAATAGGGTGAGGTCCGGTAAGATGATATTTAAATAATAAAATTTATTTTATTTAGAAAAAAAAATTAATTGATTTTATGGGTGATAAATAGTCAGGACACAGTCATTATACATTTTTTTTAAAATTTGTGTCAACGTTTCAACCCCAACATGTGGTTCATCTTCAGGGCATGATTCGAGCACTGAAGGCTTTCAAGTTCTGACTTTGGTGCTCGAATCACGCCATGAAGATGACCCACATGTTTGGGTTGAAACGGCACAAATTAAAAAAAAAAAAATTATGACTGCGTCCTGACTATTTATCATCCATGAATGTAGAACAGTCTACTATTTTCCCTCATTAATTTATTTTAGTTATCATATTTTGAACAATAAACTTACACAAGTTCTGAGTTATATTTTCGTGTCAAATAATATTATTTTTTACCCTTCCCATTTTGGTACATTTAGATTTGATATAATAAAATTATTCATAATTATTAAAAAAATAAAAATAAAATACATCTTGTGACTTCCTCACTTGCTGTTATTCTCATGTCTAGTATTCTTACATTTATTGGGTGAGAGGTCTGTCAGTCACACCTTGGAGGAGGATGGAGGCTTATCTTCTCCTAACACCTGGCAACTATGTCAGCACATCTCCCTACCTCCGCGAAGATCTAGGTTCCTATCTTCTAAGTATCTCATGACTAGGAAGTACAAATTGCTTGGCGTTTCATATCTCCAGACCTGCTGCAAAACACTCGGTCACCATACCCTGTCGAAGGCATGAAATTGAGCATCACATATTTCTCTGTATTTCATTTGTTTTAAGGGTGATCTGGTTGGGTTAGGTTTTGACAACGATCGGAGAGTGGAAGTATATAGACGGTACTTGGTGGCATCAGCTGGTATCGGACCTTCAGATTCACTAAACGTTTATTGATTTTTATATGATTAAATAAATTATAATGTTATTCTACCATGATTAGTATTTTAAAATTATTATTAATTATTAGGATTCTATTGTTTACTTTTAAATAAATATATTGAAACTGTTTCTTCTCAAAACATTTTATTATGTTTATAAGTATCAACTCATACAGTTTTGATATTACCTGTTCAATTTTATGACTTTTTTAATAATTGTTTTCGTTCAGACACTGTAAGATGATCTAAGATATATCACTTGAATTCAAGTACTGTCTGGAACTAGTAAAAGAACAAATAGTGGAAGAGTGGGGGTTTTCAACCAAGGGACGTAAGTACGTCTATTAACAAAATCAGGTATCTTACTGACTTCTCAGATTGAGACCTGCCACAAAGTAATTTTTCGTCTTCTTTTTCAGTTTGCATTTAAATATTTTACTGCCCACTTGCCATTCGCTGTTAAGCCGTAATTCTTTGTTTACATTAATAGAGTGTTAGTTTTATTATTATTGATTTAATTTGTTTAATTATATTTTTTTATTATTTACTTAGTTCAATTAGTTTTCTAGTAAAAGTTTAGTATTATCAATAGTTTAGTTTCTGGTAGTATATTAGTTATACAGTTAGTATTTTGGATTTTGTTAATTAAATTTTTTAAATTTTTTTGGAAATCTATGACCAGTGATAAATTGGAGATAACAAATATACAACAGATTTTATAATTTTAATAAATTTTATAAGAAAATAAATTTCTTATAACAGCACTCAGCCTATTTATTTATTTATATATGGGCCATTCCACCAATTGATACAGAATCATGTCCTAAGGAATGTGGCTTCAGTGTCAAATTTCTTGTATGTTACCTGAACCAGTGTAAACTAAATAATTTCAGCTTATTATTAATGAATCAGGAACTAATGAGTTCCTTGAATCCCTTAGGTGGGACTTAAAGCCATCACAAAGTTCTGAATTCTGGTTAATTATGAATTCATTCATGGTGCGTTATTATCAAGTTACTTTTTTTTTACATTAGAGTCATTATGCTATGAGCTATTAGGTTCTATGATAAATAAAAGGATCAATTGTTAAAAAAAAATATGATAATTCTTCTCTTCTATAGATTTCATCTATCCCCCTCACATGAAAAGCGATAAAAATAGATTTTATTTAATCAGTGCGGGATCTAGATCTTTAGGAGCCCTGGGCAATACGTTATTGCGGGTCCCTTTTGGTTGGCCACAGTAATATGAAATAATTAAAGAATTTTGAGGAGTAAATGGTAGCATTCAATTTCGTTTAAACATTTTCTATTTATTCTTAAAATTTATATATCCAATTTATAACTTTGAATTTTATTATGATCTTCAGCATGAAGTATAAGTTCATCTGTGACGCATAATTAATTAATTTTTGTATTGAATGGGATCTAGGGTGGTGGCTCCCTCGACCCTCCCTTCTGGACCCATCCCTCTATGTGTGGAAAATAGATTGAGCAGTGACCTAAATAGTTATAGTTGCCAGTGCTCATTTATCCTTGATTGTTTCCTTCTTATGTTGAAATGAATGAATTATTTCTCTTTTCAACTTTCATTAATTGTGTAATAATTAATATTTTTTAGGTCAACTGATTGATCTCCTTGTCCATAATTCCTTAGTAATTTATAGTAAAACTAATCATATATTTAATTAGAGTATTTTCTACTATTTCGGTTTTCCTCAAGTGTCCATGATTAGTATATGTACCACCGAAGCGACATGTCCAGGATTAAAAGTATGAACTTAATGGTCTTCCTCTCAGGTCCCCCAGATCTCCTTAGAGCCTCATTAAAAAGTTGGTGGAGGTTTGGCCAGATCTGCTTCCAGTTGTCCTCCAGCTCCGGGCAATTCTGAAGAATATGCCCTGTGTTTTGGTCCCCTGTTCTGGAGGGCTTTCTCCAATTTTTAATTTGTTATAAAGATGTGCTCTCATTCTGTTATGACCCTTCCTAAATCTAAAGAGCACAACTTGTTCTTTCTTGTTCATTTTATAATAGCTATCAACAGAGTTATAATGTCAGTGGACATCATTCCACCTTTGGCGTACAACCGCTTTACTTATAGAGGTTGCCTCCTGGAGTGTCTGAGTGCAATTTACTTGAGAGGATGCAGCTCTTCTGTTAGTTGGTCAGCTATCTCATTTCCATACAGTTAGAAGTTCCCTGGTATCCACTGGAGTACTGCTCTTTTTGTATTGAAGTTGAGGTTTTTCAATTTCTTCTGCCATAGGGTAAAGTCCAGATTTCCTTTTTGGACTTGTGAGACTGAAGTACTGATGCCACACCTGACAGAAGTACTATTTTAAACTCTGGATTTATTTTTAATCGCTTCATTTATCTACTGTCTTTTAAGATAGCCTCGTGTTGGTGATCTGTTTATTGTTTTCACTAACTCAGTATTTATAGAGGTAAGTTTGAGTTCTAAGACTAACTCGGTCATTTTGTGAGTTGCACTAATGCATTTGATCCTACTTCGCTTCTGGTTTTTGTTTTAAGGTTCAGGAACTTAACATCTCTTCAGTCTTCCATAGAAGGTACTCCTGTGACAGTATTTAGTTTTGATACTGTACTAGATTTAATAGCTCCAATAATTATCCTGAGCTCTATTTTCTATTTATTTTCCTTATTAGAATTTTATTTCAATATAATGGTTTTAATTCAATCATAATCTAGCACCACTATTTATACTGATCTCGATGAATAAATTTTTAGACATTATTAAAATCCTATCTTAAAGTGGATTGTGAAAAAGAAAATGTTTATAATTTATTTATTTTTTCTTGTTAATTTTTTTTCTTTGAAATTGTACCAAATTGTAGAATGACCCTTATTTTTTATTTAAATTATTTACAGCGTGTTTTGTAAGTAAAGGGGAAAATTTTATATGAGTGATAGCAGACCTCAAAAGCAACAAAAAATTTCGTATTTACAATGGGCCAATTTTCTGCAGAAAAGTAGAAAATACAAATTTTGTGTTTTTTTAAGGAAGTCATGTTTTTTATTAGATAGGAAGCGATAACTGAAGAAATATTTAACTTAAGTAATTAACAATTGCTTCACTGTAAACTAGACAAAATTTACTTTTAATGAAGATATAGTTTGTCATGGTCAAAACTATTTAATAATAAGACGCCTTTTTAGGGTCTCAACTAAGATAAGTTCTGTTTTTTAAAAAATCATAAATTATTCACGATTTTTTATCATCATTATCCAATTATACTATATTATATGATTTCCAAATATACCTTTCCTTTCCGCCCTCCGACCTATTATCTGCCACAGAAAAACTTCAAGAGGACTTAGATGGAATTTGTGACTGGGCAAGAACAAACAAGCTGAAGTTGAATGCAAGACAAAGGCAATCTTAATAGGCTCCAATCACCTCCTTAAAACTGTCCCTACTATTCCAACTCTGTTCCTACATAATAACCCCATCAAATTTCACCCCACCATCAAAAATCTTAGAATAACCATTGATCAAACGCTTTCTTGGAAAAATCATATATCCAATATTTCCCGCCGTACCATTTCCATCCTAAAACGTCTTAACTACTCCCGTCACCTATTTCCCTTTGAAACCCGTAGGCTCCTAGTCACTTCCTTAATTTTTCCCCACTTTGACTATTGCTGTACGGTATATGGGGGCCTCTCTGGGGATCTCGAGGCGAAACTAAAACGTTTGATAAATTGCTTTGTACGATTCATCTTCGGGATCCCAAGGGACGCCTCTGTTTCCCATCTTTACGCGGAGTTAAATTGGCTTTATCCTTCCTACCGTCGTAAGTATTTCCTGGCATCCTTCCTCTTTCAAGTCATCCAATCCCACCGTCCCTCATACATCTCCGAGCTCCTTCAATTCAAATCCTCTGTTTGTTCCCGCAATACTCGTTCCCGGTCTTCTGATTTATACATAAGGGCCCACCGAACCGCTGCTTTCGACAAATCGTTCATTATCCGATCCTCATCTCTATGGAACTCCATCCCTTCCCATATCCGTCAATCTAATACCCTTCCTACCTTTAAATCCCGCCTGTTCAATCATTTCTTATCCATCCAGTCCCCATAAAATCGTAAATAGATACTACTGAAAATATGTACATAAGTTATTAGTTCGTTCTTCATTATTTGTTCCCCAATTTTTGTTTATCTTTTTTTTTTTTCTCTTTTATTATCAACTGATCAAAATTGGAAAGCAACTTATATGTATATGTGTATATTTATATATATATATTATTTTTTTTTAACCAAGACTGTTCAATTACTCTGTATTTTTATTTATATATCTCTGAGGCTCCTTAGCCCTCATTTCTGTCTTCCTGTATTATTCTAAAGGGTCTCGTCCCAGAATAAATAAAGTATTATTATTATTATTATTATTATTATATACTCCATATCCCTATGTTATATATTATATACCCCACTTTTAGAAAGCTTTCTTGTTTAATTATCTCTATGTCTATATTAATTAAGTGGAGATTTATTAGGGAAAAAACTTGAGGTTTATATCAAGTTGTGTTAAAAAATTAAGTGATTTTTTAACACACCACCTAAAAGTACCTGTATTTTCAGCAAAAATGATTACAATTAATTGTTGCCAAGCTTTTATTTTATGTTTTTCTATGATTTTGGATGCATTATAATAAACATAATTGCCTAAATAAGTACACTTTTTATTTATTAATAAAAAAATTAAAGATAATAATTTTTTAAATATATATCAGGTAAAGTGATTATTAAAATGTTTTTCATCCAGATCTATTATACGACTTGATTTGTATTTATAAGTGAAAAGATAAATGTTTCTAATTCTAAAATTTACGTTAAAAATAAATAAACCTGTTAATTGCTTCAATTATTTTCAAGAAAACGTAAATTTTAGGACTAGAAATATTTAATTTTCCAATCATTAATACGGATAAACTCCTATAATAGAGATCTAGTTGAATAACACAGTTTCGTAACCAATTTACTCGAAAAATATTTGAAAAATCATTATTTTTAATTTTTTTCTTAAAAAAATAAAAAGTTAATTAGGCAATTATGTTAAGATCATGGAAAAAAATGAAATAAAAGCTTTGCAACAATTAATTGTAATCATTTTTGCTGAAAACTACAGATACTTTAGGTGGCTGGTTAAAAATCATGTAATGTTTTAACACAACTTTAATTGAATCTCAAGTTTTTCACTGATAAATCTCCGCTTAATTAATATAGACTTACAGATAATTAAACAAGAAAGTTTCTCTAAAAGTGGGGTATATGTAGTATAATTGAATGATGATAAGAAAAAAAAAATGCGACTAATTAATGATTTTTTTAAACACAGAACTTATCTTAGTTTAGATTCTCAAAAGGCTTCTTTAAATTGTTTTGACAATGAAAAACTATATCTTCATTTGAAGCAAATTTGGTCTAGTTTAAGCAATTGTTAATTACTTAAGTTAAATATTTCTTTAGTTATCGCTTCCTATTCTATTTTTGCTTCTATTTCTACTTGTACTCCTATATAAATTCCCATATACTTATGGTACACCCTGTATAGTACAATCTTAATAATTTGCATCCTCTTAATTCATAAATCCCACTCATTATAAATAAACTGTTGGTCCTCTCAGTGATTCATTAGGATTTTTCTACATGAGGCCAGCTATTAAATAAAATTATCCTGGCCACCCAGTGTTTTGTTCATCATAAATATTTGTCCTTCATTCATTTAAGAGCCTATGCCATTTACACACAGTTTCATCATTCATTACTTCTTCACCATTAACTTCAACAAGCTGCTAGTGAATTTCAGTTGACGAACTTTTTTGTATTTAAAATCTGAGTAACTGAGCTCACTTCACTATTGGCAGGATTATTGATTAACATGGCGACAAATTAAACAGTATGACCACACATTCAACAGTGGCTTGCATAGTAATGGCGGTATAGTGGGCGACTGTTAAAAAGTGCCTAGACTTGAACAGGTGTGAAAGCCTGCACTGTCGCGATACGCTAGCAATTTTTACTTTAAAAATGTCCACATAATTATGAGCAAAATAAGTGGTGTTAACAGATCAGGCGGATCGACGATGGATCAAATTTGCACTCTCCGTCTGCTTCTTGAGAAAACCAGAGAGTATGGAATTAGCACTCGTCATTTATTTGTGGATTTTCAGCAAGTATATGACTCTGTAAAGAGGAAAGAAGTCTACAAGGCTATGATCAATATGCAGATACCTCCAAAACTGGTAAGACTCATACGCATGACAATGGAGAGTAATCTGTGATGCATGCGAATGTTCAGTGAATTCTCAAAAAGCTTCAACACAGAGACTTGAGTCTGTCAAGTCGATTGTTTGGCCTGTCTTGTATTTAATTTGGCCCTTGAGACAGCCGTGAGGAACTCAGGTATTCAGACCACAGGGACACTTCTAAACAGACTTGTTCAGGTGCTTGGATGTGATGATGATTTGCACCTTAGTGGAAGGACACTGGAGATAATCAGGGAGGCTTTTTGAAGCTCTGGGAGTAGCAGCAGCACGTATGGCGCTCCTAATAAACACGGATAAAACAAATTATATGTTAACAAAACCAAACCATGATATCTGGAAAGCATTTTTCAATTGAGTTCACACAAAATAGAAATGGTACGGGAATTTGTCTGCTTAGGCTCCCAAAAATAAACTCCCGGAATGATATTGGGGAAGAGATGGACAGACGTATTATGGCTGCTAAGCGGTGTTCCTTCGCACTTTAAAAGTAACTCCGGTCTAGAAACTTATGAAAATCCTCGAAGGTCAGAATATATAAAACTCTGGTTCGACATGAAAATCCTCAAAGGTCAGAATATATAAAACTCTGGTTGGACCTGTTTTAACATACGGTACCGAAACTTGGACACTCACAAGGACTCGAACTGGAACTGTCCAGGTTTCAACGAAAGATTCTGATGAGAATTTACGGGGATGCATGTGTTAATGGAGACCGGAGTAGAAGAACTAATCTGGAGCTGAGACTAATTTGAAGCATGGAAGGTTGGACACGCTAGACTCCGATGGGAAGACTGTGTTGTTGGCGATACTTTGCATTCGCAGCTAGAAGTCAGTAGCACAAAACAGAAATGACTGGCGGTCAATACTGGAGCAGGCCAGGACTCATCGTGTGGGTCATAGAGCCGTATAATAATAATAATTGACTATAATTAACTGAATTTGAATGGGCCCTTGTCTCGTTGTCAGAATGTACAGTTTTAATGCTTTATATTAACAGAACTATTAATTTTTTCTTTACATTCTTAAAACAAAATAAAACTTGGTTAATATAAAATTTGTGTTGTTTTAGGAATGATGAGAAAGTAGCCCTCTAATCTAATCTCTCATTTATTGTTGGCTATACAATATTAATGTTCAGTTTATTTATTACAATCTTCAATATATATAAAAAAAGTGAATAGGGAAATATTGAAATTTAATATATTTAGTTAGCGATTGGTGGTGTCGGCATCGAACCTTCGGGTTCGCTAAGCCTTTTATTATTTATTATTTATTTATTTAATATATTTAGTTGTGTTCCTCAAATTTCTGTTATAATTGTAATGAGTTAAAATAGATTTTTGAATTAAGGCTTTATTTTACAAGAAAGTGGCATGGTTGACAAGAACAAATTAAATATATCATTAATACATAATTAATAATGTATAAAAGATAATGCAAATTATTCACCCATTTTAGAATTAATATTGCAAGTAACAAGTGAGGTTTTGGTAAATCAAAGTTTGTCAGTTAAATGAAGTTTTGTTTGATGTAAACCTGTATATCTTATTCTCCCGTCCTTTATTTACTGTCCTTCAATGTAATACTTTGGGATACGTCCCTTCAAGAGAGGATTTTTTCTAACTACCAGTTCTGTTGATGCTTCAGACACTCTTTCTCATCTGGTGAAATATTGAAATATGGGTTCCTGAGAACGGAGAAGTTAAGTGTGGTTTGTTTGGAAAACCTCCTCAGTTTAGAGAGTCCTAGGAGTGAAAGACATGAAAGTTTGTATTTGTAATAAGTTGAAACGCTTTGTAAGTCCCTATTTATAATTTATTTAGTTGATATAGCTAATATACAAAAAACATCATTTAAATCTGGGACATAAACCCTAGAGCTCTGGTTATTTCATATGGAATGACCCGTTCACTAAGAAAATTGATATGGATTGATTTAAAAAAAATTATGTTTGCTCATGGCAAATTATTAAAATCCTAACAGTTTGCTTGCTACATAAATATCCATATAACAATTAAAAAAATTAATCATTCGTTCAAATGTTTGTATCTAAAAAACAAGCTTTTAAGAACCTTTATTGATTTATTAAACATCTGAAACATTTCAGCTGCCATGATTTACTTGACAACTATGAAACCCTGATGATCGATCTAGCAGTTAATTTGTTTAATATTTAAATTTTTTATAACTGCTTTCACACTTTAGAGGTCACTGATTTAGTCTTATATTTTATTTTAGGGCTATAGAATGTGACCCAAAAAATGCTGTTTACTATTGCAATAGAGCTGCTGCTAAAAGTAAATTAAATGATCATGCTGCAGCTATACGTGACTGCAACATAGCTCTTGAGTTAGACCCTAAATATAGTAAGGCATATGGACGATTGGGGTAAGTTTGGCCTTATATTATATATGCGTTGTTGATAGATTACTCCTTTATTATTTTTCAGAAATATAGATTTATTTTCTTCTCAATTTTACTACAAATGTTACTTGTCTGGATTTGCAATTAGCTATAAATTCTTTTGTTATAGCTAACATTTTAACTTAACCATGTACCAGTCTATCTTCAGAGTTATGCTATTATACCCAATATAGTGTGGGTAACAAGTAATTAGGAAATTTTTAATTTTATTGTTAGTTATATCACGTTGACTGGACCTAATTAAAAAAATTAACTTGTGTGTTAAAAATAATGGGAATTATTTTTTTTTTAATGAAATATATTTATCCGTCTATCAATCCAATCTTATCCCACGAGATATTATAAATTTATGCCAGCACTAAGTTCTTTCTGTTTTTTTGATCAGAAAAAAGTCCTACAGGACCATATCTGGAGAATTGGGTGCATGGTCTTAAATCTTGGTTTTGGCCAAAAATTCACAAACAATGAAGGGTGAGCAGGGACATTATCATGTTAAAAACCATACATGTGGCATTAAGCTTGTAGATAGTACTCCTTATTGATTGTTTGACTTTGTGTCAAGAATTCAACTTTTAGTAGATAATGGATTATGCCGTTCAAATCAAAGAACATAGTGAGGATCAACTATAACTTCACATTTCATTGTGGTTGCTAAGTTTTTTTTTGTCTTGGCAATCCAGAATGTCTCCCCTGGGACAATTGAGCCTTAGTTTAGACGTCATATTTGTAAAACCATGTTCCATGAATTGTTTGGACAAGTTCGTAGTTCTACATTGTTGTTGATTTTATTTAGTGACTCCTGAGCAATTTTCTATTGCCAGTGGTTTTGTTAAAAATTCAACAATTTAGTACAAAGTTTGCTGTCACATATTTCAAACCCAAGACACTCTGAAAAATTTCATGGAATCAGCCAATTGATTTGCCAAAATCATCAGTGACTTCTCTGATTTGATGATATAATCATTTCTTTCAATTCAAAGTAATTTCCAGGGTACTTTTTTAAAAATCGTTACGGTCTTCTTGAAAACATTTATGCTGCTCATAAACCCTTGTTTTATTGAAAACAGACAAAACAAAAACAAAATTTAACATTTTTAAAACATGTAAATTGAAACAAAGAAGCTGCATTTTATTCTATTCTTATAATAAAATTAAATGCAAAACCTCTGATCCATTTTTCTCACATATATAATCACTGGCTATACCAAACCATGTATATCAGCTAACAACAGAATGGACGAATAGACAACCCATATGACTAAAAATGCATAGTTGCTTTTCAGACATTTTTTACCAACACAATGAAACAATTGTGCGAATTGGACTAATACAACTCTTGAAATAATAAAATTCCCATTACTTTTTGAACACACCTTGTATTTTCATTTATTCTTAAACTATAATAAAAATTACAATTAACTCTATTCAGAGTACATAAGATAGAATATGCTGAACTAGCCATGAATTACTACTAAACAACTATCTATTGGTAGGTATTTGTATAAGGTTATGGAATAAATAATACAAAAATGCTAATTTCTGTTTCTATTTATGTAGTTTTAACGGGATAAGAGGGTCCATAACATTTAGACTATAGTAAAAAAAAAAAAAAAAGGTTCTGAAGTTTATTCTAGATTGTAATTTCTTTTATTTTAAAATTATAAATATTGTAAAACATTTTATGATGTTTAATAAAAATGTCATGATTAATGAAGTAATTATAACATTTAATTATTTAATAACTCCACAAATAATGTTACCCAGCATTTCGAGTTCAAATTTTTATGGACCATAAATAAATAAACTGTAATACAATTCATTCTCAATTGAGCATAAATTTTAAGTTTTAAAGGAGTATAGAATTTATAGAACTTGCATATTACAATATACCAGAACCTTGTTTAAGTATTATGTTTACAATTTGCACTGTTAACAAATTGTCATTCTTAAGGTTTTAATTCCTGACAACAGACTGATATCATGATTGGCCTCCAAACCAAAATATACCAATTATTGGAATTAATGTCAAATCTAAAGATTTATTCAATGTTAATCCAACAATACTTTTACGTACATTATGCAGCCAGCCAAAAATTTATTAATTTATTTTTGAACTAGAAATTTCACCGATATATAAATATATGAAGTATTTTTTTTAAACCATGTTTTGTTATAATGATCCGAGACCCAAGTGAAACATCCTTGAAGTTAAGTTTTAGTTGTAGACATTTATAATGTCCAACCTTAGTATACAATTTGCAATAGTCTTCCAACTCTCAAGCTGGAATGTTTTGAATTGGTATCCATTAATAGGGAGATCCAAATACGTAAAAACTACATTTGATGATAATTTTTATTAATTCAACATGAAACTGCACTCTCCTCAGATATCAAAGAAATCTGCCAAAGTCCAGGACCACAAAATCCATGTTTTTTTATTCAATAGTGAACTTTTGAAAATATCTAGAAAACAGCTATTCCAACATAAGTAATTTTCCCAAACTATTTTGTAGTATATTCTATAGTTTCGATTTGATAGATTGAGCTTTTTATGTGCAATAGTGCGAGAGAAAAGATCTTCCAAAAATTTATATATTTTTTTTATACTAGAATAGAAATAACTATGTTAAGATTTTATTTTAGCAAATATCATAGGAAATTGAAGATGATATAATGTTCTACAAAGTAATTTATGATAATTATCTTCATAGGAATAGCTGTTAGCAAAAGTGCTCTATTTGGCAAAAAAATGTGGATTTTGAATTTTGATTGCCATCAGATTTGGAGTGTCAAGATTCATTTCCTATGACTGCCGAAAAATAAATATTGACCCACACAGGTGGGAATAGAACCCACAATGTTCAGAGCCGGGGATTCTGGAACCCACACTCTAACTTCGGCAGATAACGTTTTTTTTTTTTGTGCAGTTTCATATTTACTTGAAAAAAAAAAATTATCTTCAAATAATGCCATTTATTTGTATTTTGGGCCCCTCATTGATAGAGGCCTTCATTTCAAAATGTCCCCACTTAAAGTTGTCAGACTAGTGCAGATTTAATGCTGAGATTGTACATAAAATTAAATTCAACTTAATAAAATTAATTGTTAAGTCAAAATATTGTTGCACACTTTTGATTTTCATTTAAGAGATCTGTTCAAATACTATACAATACAATATGAAGGAAGACAAAATTAAACTGATTTTAAAATAAAAAATTCATTCTAGTTCGGTAAGAGATTCAGAGAACCTCACTCCCAAGGGTACTGCAATTGTTTCTTCTTAAAAAATGTCTTCCCTGAATTTCCATTTGAAATAGTGAAACTTTTTTTTCTTATTTAATTATTGCGTACTCTTATGAATGTAAACTTAGGGTTCTTTTTTATGACAATTGCATCATCTAGTTATTTAAATGTGACTTTTTGTTTGAAGCTTATAAATTTTATTTGATATATAGAGATTAAATAAACAAAGATTCGACTGTATTTATTTAATTATCATTTCTTTATTTATAACTTGTTTTTTATATGTACATATATTTTCTTGCAGGCTAGCCTACTGTGGGTTAGAATCATATGTGTATGCCTTAGAAAATTATAAAAAAGCTTATGACTTAGAACCTGATAATATTGGATATAGAAGAAACTTAGAATTGGCACAGCAAAAAGTGGCTGATTTATGCTGTTTAAATCTTGAACCGCATTCTCATTCTGAGACAAATATATCTAGCACTGGAGGGCCTAACCTCGGTGCTCATATTACTGATAGTGAGTCAGGTGTTCCACCTAACAGAGGGTCAGCTCAACTTCCAGTAGATATTAACTTGTTATTAGGAAATCCACAGCTGGTCAACATTGCATCTCAGATGCTTGCTGACCCAACAATGCAAAACATGTAATTAAAATATCTTAGTATTTTTTTGAGCAACTTTGAAAATTATGTCATCAACATTTCAAAATAATAATTTTATGAAGTTAATATTTTTAATTGGATAATATTTTTGAAGTAATTGTAGTATTTAATACTCTGTGAAGCTTTATTTTTAAATTTATTTGTATAAGTAATTACATTACAAATAACAGTTAATAAGTAGCAATTGTATCCCTCTTATTAAGTTGTAATGATACTTAACTTCTTGCAGTGATCTCTCTTTACTGAGAAGTAAGGCTAGGATTTGAGATTAGTGATCTTAGCTGTATTAATCCCTAGTGATTTAACTGCTTTTATTAATGCATACTTATACATGGGCCGAATGGCAGCTGCTCATTGAGGAGACCAAGACCTACTCAGGGTTGTAGCTCCCCGTAGATAGATAGATAGACAGATAGAGACTTATACATGAATTACATGCATACATGTTTAATCAAATAGAAAAAAAAAATACAATTTTTCTGATTCTTTAAAAGAATGATATAATAGTTTCAACTTCAAATTTTATTACATGTGTAAATTATAGTATTTAATTGTATACAGGGTGTTGTGAATATGATTCAAAATATTTAAAGCGTATCCAGAACTAATTTTGGGGGAGCTTCAGCCCGAAAGCTTTTGTTGTCGTTCATATAACGATAATTTATTTGAAAAAAAAAAAGAAACTAACTACCTGTATGGCATGGTGTTTAAATGATTCTTGAATTCTTTTTAAATGGTGTTACACGAATAATAATAACCTGTACCACTACAACCCATGAAGTGTCTTGGGTTCAGTACTATTTAGGGAAAGCACTATTTCTAGGCCAACGGTTGTGCAAGGAAGTGATTTGACCAAGATCACGCTCAACCGCCAGGTTTTCCCCCTTAATTAATTAATTAAGAGTACCCACTTTATAGAGGCTGGGTGTCCCCCAGGAGTGTCTACCTTCCCACGGTCGCCCCACGGCCAATGAAACAGATAAATAAATTTTCTGCCATGAGCCGGGGTTCGAACCTGGGACCTTTAGCATAGGAGATCCCTGAGTTACCCCACTCCCTCCGAATAATAATACTTTAAGAGATATTTTTTTCTATACAATATGGTTATATTTTACCATTTAGGGAGAGGGAGACTTTGCCCGATAGGGCTGTTTTTGAAATGAAATTTCCCATTTCTGGTTAGTTTTACAATCAAATACCTAAGTGTTGCTTCTTCAGGAAAAAATATTTTTCTATAGAAGTAGGCATTTCATCCTTAAATTTGCAAATGCTTAATTGTTGAGTCTGAATACAGATAGCATTACTGAGGGGAAAACATACAAAATAAGGTCTGTAGTAAAGGAAATTTTATTTAGTATAATCTGCTGCAATGAAGAATCAACCAACTTGAATGGTTTTTTAGTTATTATTCCATATTCAACAAAAAATGTGATCTATAAAAACACCAAAATTATATCCGTTTTTATTATTTCCTGTTTGGAATCAGATCATGGGCCAGATTATACCTACTACTACCAATAAAGAGTTCTGTAGTTTCTAAGGTTTCTAGGCCTTGGTTGGCCAAATTTCAACCTGCCTAGACTGGATTAAAACCGGTGTCGCTAGACTTGAGAATGTCAAAGCAGGCAATGCATCAACATACTTGGCCAACACAATCTCAAATTTCAGTATCTTTCTGTTATCAAGTTTTGTGAAGAAATGATATTGTATTAGTTTTATGAAATTTCATCCCTTACTTTTGATTACTGTTGGGCTAACATTTTTTCCTTGATCCAATTATGTTTCAAATACGGCTTGTTTGGTTTGGTCTGAAGTGGAGAAAAGTTGGGGAATAGTGTAAAAATGATATTATCAATTCCATTCAACTATGAAAATTAATGTAATTGTTAAAATATTATGGCTGTGAAATGTGGTTGGTAAGAACTTCTCGAATGAGAAATTTCAGGATTGGAACTAGGAAGGTAAAGGGGGAAATTTCCCGGTGACAGACTTTAAAGCATAGCAAATATTTTTTCAGTTAATTAAAAAATATTTCTATCTACTTGTTCATTGTTTTGACCTTATTTCAGTTAGTGATGCCATGATGATATTTATTTCATGAGGAGGTGACAGAAATTACAGGAAAATTAAGTTATTCCCTCCTGGCTAAAATCCTAGTTCTGGCCCAGGGAAGTTATATAAGTTTTAAACTTAATGTGATTTATTAAACATTTTTTATTTAAATATTCTTTTCCTTGTATAATCTCAGTAAAAAGTGTATGTGTGGATCCGTATTTTTTCATTTTAGAAGTTTCCATTACTTACTGACAAATAAGGAACAAAAATGTGCCACAGATAGTTTATGTTAAATAGCAGTGAGAATATAGATGTGAAAGACAGAAATAAATTATCCAAATCAAGTCAAAATAAAGAAACAGTAACTTTGTTTTTTTATTATTTACTCTATAGAAATAAGGGAGCTATACCGACCTACTTAAAAAAACCGTTGTTTCTTTTTGTTTACAATCCTCCCTCAGAACTTACATCTTAGAATCCACTAACATCTAATGTGTTCTTGACAGGGATTGAAATTAATTATTTTATCTGTTGATTTATTTTACTTTTTTAGATTTCTTTGATGTTAAGGTAGATTATTGGAAGTGTATTACCATCAATAAAGTGAGCCTGGATAGTTTTAGAGTATAATGTGTTTTATTTTATTTTCATTGTATTATGTTCATGTTATACTTTGGATTTTAAAATATTATTGTGCTATAGAGTTGTTAAGTTCAGAATAAGTGAATGTTATTTTATTGTGTACCTACTTATTTGTGTGAGTGAAATTATGTCAAAATAGATATTTTTTCTTTATGAAAGAGGTGTAGTTGGCCATTAAAGTGAAAATAGGTGGTTTGAAATAAACTTTTTAACATCAGCAAGTAAAAAGGAAAGAGAACTGTTACAGATCAGGAATTGAGAGAAGATAGAAAAGAGGACCTACTAAATAAAAAAGTTAGGAACTTAAAACTTAATTTTTAGTCAACAGAAGTGGCCAATTAACAACTATCTATCTCCTTAGCACTACAACCTGGGGTGGAACTAGACCTCCTCAGTGAACTTCCACCATTTGGCTCTGTCCAGTACAGCCGTTTGTCTGTTCTTGATCCCTGAGAGACTTCTTGCATCCACTGCCACTCCATTAGCCCATCTGTTGTTCGATGAAGTACCTCCTTCAACATTCTCTTCAGAGTCGCTTCCACTATTTCTGGCAACATGAGCTTTCCAAGCTTGATAAAATTGACTACATTTAATTCTCCATGCATGTCATAGAGTTCTCTATTCTTTCTGGTCCTCTACCTCTCTGCAACTCTCACTTGACCAATTATGTACCAGAATATTCTTCTTTCAATTACCATTAAATCGTTTTCATTGTTCTTTGAGATGGTCCAGGTCTGTGAGGTATAGATAAGGACAGGGAAGATCAAAGTTTTGTTGCTAGTAGTTTTGTTTGTCTACTGAGACGCCTATTGTGGATTGTATTTAGAAATAACACCGATTCCCTGCAGCCAATCGTTATCTAATATTTTCAGGCAATCGTTTTCAAATTTGTGCAGACATATTAGAGGCTGCGTGACTAGAAATCCAAGGTAGAGGAACTCTTTAACTTTCTCAAATGTGTACAGGCCGACACTAAGCATGGGATCTCTTCCGAAACCTGTGTACATATATTTAAGAAGAAGTTACTTAGTCGGGGATGTGGTCAATTTTTAAGTTAAATTAAATAAGTTAATGGTCAACCATCTCCACACCATTGTACACATATTTGATTTGGTCTTTGCTTGACGGTGAGTTCCAGGAAGGAAGCCAACCTCATAAGGTTCAGGAAGACATAAATAATCTATTACATGATAGTATTTTTATTGAAATGAAGGGATAATTTATTAAAAATACCATTATATAATACAGTATTTTATATATTGACTATATCCCCGACTAAATTCTTCTGAAATTGGAATCTATGGTCAACCATCTCCACATCACTGTACATATATTTGATTTGGTCTTTGCTTCATTGACAATGAATATCAGGGATGAAGGCAACTTCATAAGGTTCAGGAAGACATCTTTCAGTGGTGGTAGGAAGACATCATTTTAGGTGTTAAAATTTTAATTTTATCATGTTTGACACATAATAGATGGCTTGAGAATGGTGTTATAGGCCAAGGCGTTGCCAGGGTGGAAAGGATCAGTGGGGAAATAAAAAAAAAATACATACAGCCCAAATCTTTTAATTCTCATTTCTTATATTATCATCATCATTTGTTGTTTTTCTTAGCCTTGGAGGAATTATACAAGTTAGACCTTAACTTCAGCACAGATTAAATAGTAAATCTTTATTACTGTTTTTAATTTCTGAATGCATCTCCAACTATCATACTCAAATAATTTTTCTTACAAATTTTATTCTATAATGTTATAGATTTGACTCTGACATGTATCAATGTTATTTAAAACTTTATTTTTTAAAAATGCTTGAAGTAATTTTTCTGTATTAACATATTTCATAAATTTTTTGTAGGATGAGTTCCATCATCAGTCAAGAAAGTGGAACAGGGATGCAAGCTCTTCTTCAAGCGTAAGTTGTAAAAAATAGATAATGTATTTTTAAATGGAGAAATAATGTCTTATTCTGTCCTATCAGTTAATCCATTTAATAGAAAAAAGTAGTATATATATGAGTATTTCATCTCTCCAAAGCAGATAAGTTTCAAAAAGATAAGTGTTTGATAAAATTAGTAACCAATGATGAAATTCTGGAATAAATTAACCATATACTTGATAAAAAAAGTAAAATAAATTGGTAATATGATTTGTGTGTTCCACACTTCATTTATTTTCTAGAAAGTTCTGGGTATTCTTCTACGTACCTAAAGAACTTGTATTATTTCAATTATAAAATGTAAAAATGTGTCAACACTATGCCCATCTGCAAATTATTTTAAAGAAGCTAATCTTACACAAAGTAAGTATGTCTACATTTTAAAGAGCTTCTGGTCACAATGTATCAAAGGTTCAATGCAGAGTATTATACTCAATACTCACACTGCCCAATTACTGAGTACTTAAACTCTTGAGATTCATAAATTTCAACAAGCTCTGCCGGTAAATGTCAGATGGATGAACTTTTTTTTCCATATAAACATTGAATAACAGAGTGCACTTTACAATCGGAAGGAATTTTTATTAATATTTCAACAAACAAAGTAGTTGTTAGTTGGAGTTCTAAGGCATAGAACTTCAAGGTCACCAACGCCTGTAAAATATCATGGCTGTATATAACATTACATTGGACAATGTAGTGGTCTAGGCATATATCTTCCCATATATTAATATGTTTTTGTTTAAACCACCTGGCTTCTTGTAAGAGTAGTTAAGCCTTTTTTGCACTTGGCCGCTTCGCTAGCTTGTCAGCCTATTGATTACCAAGTAAATCAACTTAGCCTGGTACCCACTAACAAAGATGGGCAAAAAATAATCTAAATACCTAGAAATTTAATCACTTCTTCAGTTCATAATTGTCCACTAACTGAACAGTGATTAAATTTCTAATATTAATTAAATTTCAGTAAAATATACTATACTCTTGAATTATATTATTCATTATGATATGATGGAATGTGTTGTCTAAGAATATTTTAATAGTTGCATGTGGAAGTGTAGTCTTTTAAAATTACAGATTTTGTGTTCTTGTTGGGTCTATTGGCTAATTTGAAAGCTTCAATAACAGATTATAATTCAGGGCTATAGATAACAAATGTAACAATGAAGTTCAGAGATGTTTGTATTTTATGATAATGTTTGAATTTTTCCTGCTATATTTCTTGTATTTTCTGTTTTAAAAGTATTTAAAGGCAGTATTGTTGGACAAGTTTGATTGATTTGATTTAGGGTTGGTTTTAATGACGATCTGTGACTTTGCTATGTGAGTGTGTATAATCCAGTAGAGGTGGAAGATGATTTAAATAAGTCTCTCATTTCTTCAGAGTATGTTGGGGGTGGGGTGGCCGAATAGGCTAAAGCATGTGCACTGCACCGCGAGTCGCCTGGCAACCAGATATATGAAGATTTGAGAGACAAGGAAAAGTACGAGTTCGTATCCCGGTGCCAGAGGGGATTTTAAATTCCCTGTCCCCACCCTCCGGCCCGGGAAAATCCCGTATTGCCTAAACGGCGAGGTAGGGAAGAAAAAAAAAAAAAAAAAATTCTTCAGAGTATATTAGCCCAGCCAAATTAGCACAAAAAAGAGTGTCTAGCTTGCAAAAGTGGCCGGGTAATACAAATTTCTTTTTTATATTGTTAGGTATGCAGTGACTAAAAAATCAAAGTTTTCTCCCTTGAAAGCCCTGTGGGTTCGCTGCAGTGCTCCAAAAACCATTGAAATTTTAAACTTTTTTTGATTTATGCTTAATATATCCTTTTTAAAGCGACATATATTTATATATATATATTAAAAAAATGGTTATATTCACTCTTAAACAACTTTAAATTATCTAACATTTTTTTCTAAACCCAACAGGAAGTGGACTATCAAGCTTTCAAAATTAGTAGTTTTGAAAAAAGAAATGCAAAAATTGAAAATTATTGTATTAATATTTATTCCTTAATACAATCAAATATCAATGCAATAATTATAGTGCTATAAATATGCCATTGATGAGTACTTAATGATATAGCAGAGGACTCTAGACACCTATGCCAGTGCTGCTTTTCTGCAGATTAAGTGTATTTTCTAAGTGACGGCTTCAAATATTTGAAAAAGCAATCAGTGTTTTAGAAATAGAAATGCATTCTCCAGATGTTTTATTTCAGTTCGTTTTTTGTTATTGTTGGTCATTTATTTACAAAAGATGCTTGATTTTCAACTTAAGTTTGAACGACTTAAAAAATTGACTTTACTGGTGTTTTTATTATCAAGGCCAATTATTTTTTTAATTTGTTCATGTTTTATTATTCCTTATCCATCCAGATTTAATAAAAGGCCAATTAAAGGGAGATTAAGCCAAATGCCGGATATTAGTGACCTATAAACCAACTCAAATCAACTCCTATGTTTGAACACCATTTTGGGTCAGTACGGTTGCATTTTTTCATTGGAACATTGGCTTTTTTTTAAATAAATAGTTACAAGAAACACACTGTATGCAATTTATTGGGATGTGGGGAGAGGGGGAGGGAGGGTGTATGGTAGGGGAGGTCTGGTCCACTGTGTAACTACTATTCAAAACACCTCCTGACTACTGTCTACTGTTCCAGCCGATGGCTCATTATCTTCAAGGAAAATCTGTGAATTCTCTTAACGAGATTCAAAATGGAGTTACAAAATATGTTTAAAACTAAAAGAGCATTGTGAAGAAAGCAAAATGGGTAAATTTTGAAAGCTCGATAAATCGCTTCCTGTTGGGTTTAGAAAAAAAGTTATGTACAAACCTGTTAGATAATTTTAAGCTGCTTAAGATTGAATGTAACCATTTTTTACTTTCACTTACCTATATAAGCAATAGATAGTAATGCGGTCATGAAAATTTTTGAGTCTGAATTTTCAGCGGAAATACATGTTTTGAGGTCTCTTGAGTCCAAATAACCAAGTCCTGCAAAATGGTGTGTGTATGTATGTTATCATTCTAGCTCAAAAACAAAAAGTCGTATGAAAGTGAAATTGCTTATTTAAGGTTTCTATAAGCTTTCGATGTTACAGAAACAGTTACGTCTAAATCGGCAAACAGGAAGTGGTACTTTATATAATCGATTTAACACATTTTTACAATTTTCTCAAAAATGGCTCTAAAAATTTTGATTCAACTCTGTATATCAGTGTATTATTAAGCAGTTTTTAATATAATGTTGGTTTTATTCTCATTGATGTTTTCTATCAGGGCTTAAATAGCTAATTTTCAATATTGGCTTCCTCTAAAGTACCTTTATTATTTTTTCATTTGAAATAATTAACCATTTCACATTAATATTTGATATGAAATATGTAAGAATTTGATAATTAACTAAAGGAGAAATAAGTGATTGGTATCGGATAATAGTTGTAATCGAGGAATCAAAGGAATATGAGCTTACCCGAGCTCTCCTGAAAGATTACAACAGGCTTCCATATATAACATATGCAGTTTTCATAAATGCTATCGTTGGTATTATTTAATATTTAATTTTATAGAATACAGCGATATAAAAATTAAAATTTGTGTGTATATATATATATATATATATATATATATATTTATATATTTATATAAAGGGTATTTAAACAAATAAAAATACCCACAATGAATTGTAAATAAATATAGCGTCAATAATTTTTACTTTCACTTCCCCTTTGTCTGAAAATACTTATTTTTGCTAAGAAGAGGGTGGTAAGTGAAAGTTGTGTGATGCGAGCACCAGATTTTTATCTATGTTGCTCTAAAAAGGAGATATTTACAGGGTGGCGACTGACCTGAAAAACCGGGAAAACCTGGAAAAGTCAGTGAATTTTCAAAACCGGGAGAAGTCAGGGAAAAATTGTTAAAGTCAGGGATTTTTTTAATTCGAAAATATTCTTTTTAAATTAGAATTAATATACAGTGGATTAATATAACGACCTTAAGAGACCTGGTAAATTTCGTTGTTATAATGTATAATTGTTATAGACGACCCGACCATTGTTATGTGTATATCGTTGAATAACCTATATCTATCTACTTGTCACTGTCAGTAACGGCCCTGGCCGTTATATTGAAATTAAACAAGGGTAATGAATAAAATGTAAGCAAAATAGAGTTAAAACAGTGCTTTTTAAAAAGAAAAATAAAACAATACTATTTACTATCTGTAAGTATACATCTATTCGTTGGTTAACTAAGGAGAACGTTGGCAGCTTCACATAATTCATGCTTAGGTAGAGTCTTAATATGCGAATGAGCAAAATGTCGTTGGACCGCTCGGACTTAAAACGCATTTTGGTCCTTAATTTTGTGATGATTGTTATGCATATCAACAGAATATATAAAAGCTATGTAATATGTTTATACATCCTAGTTCTGTTATAAAATAGTTAAATTAGCCGAAAATAAAGCATTGAAAAGATAAAAAGCACAAGGGAAATACGACTTCGATTCTCTGAGCTTTAACAGCCGTTTAATCTTCTTACATATTAAAGTGTCTGTATGAGGTACATACGAAACTTAATGCTCTTTCAAATTGATTATATTGAATTTCTTCGTTAGATGCATAGATTATGAGTTTTGGGGGAAAACTGACAAAAATAGATTTTTCTTGTGAAACATGCAAACAGTCAATAATCTCTTACTGCTCACCCGTTAGCCCTACATCAAAAAGCTATGCTTAAAATTGATAGTAAATTTATCTTCTTTAACGTTGTATATAATAATAATTTCGATAAAATGCACAGTTTCGGAGTCATGTCCAAAAAACTAAAAAAGTTCGGAAATTTTGATGTTTTTGCGTATATCTCGATACGAAATGGAACATTTCGTTCGAGAACGTCAAATTCAGATCAGTATCCCAAAAAAAAATAAAAAACCAAGAGAACCGACTATTTGAATTTTTTTTTCAACCAACTACTATCGG